TGACTTGAGAACGTGGTGGCGATCTGTCAGAAATATTGAGACAATAATACTTTAATAGTTTTAATGTAACTGTTTCAATTATATATAATATTTATATAGTTTAAATATATTAAAAATTTTTTACAGAAATAAACTGTTGGAAATATCACTCTGTTCTTCAATAGAATGCGGTGATATTGAAATAATTTAAATAATATTTTGAATGTAAAATGATTATAGTTAAAATAATTTATATTTTATACTCACGTTTCCGATCCATTATTTGAAACCAATCTATAAGATCTGTCAGTATCTAGGAGTTCGAAGCGTACTACTTGTCCTTTTGGTACAGTAATTTTCCAACGACAAAATGTGGGCATTGAATTATCTCTTGGAATATCTAATTCAATATTACCAGATAGCCCACTAACATACCGATAGCATGTACTAGAAATTCGTTTATAATTTATTTTAAATCCACGATAGTTATGATTTTCAAGAAATGTTGAAAATATTATCAACACTTCCTTCCCATCAATCTCCACTTGGGGTAATGTTTCATTTCCATATATAACAGTTACTAATTCGGTAGTGTTCTCATCGAGAATTCTGAATATATCTAGATGATCTGAATTATTTACATTATTATTATTGAACGGAATATGTAAATCCGTGAAATTTAAAATCATGCGAGCATTTCTAATTAGTTTTATTGAATATTCACATATCGTATTTTTGGGATATGCACCAAGAGCCGGATAATTCAATGAGGTAATATCACCATACATTGAATTGTAACTTCCACCACACCTAGCAATAGAAGCATTTACACGAAAACCATTATGAGGTTCAGCGATATCGGTGAAATAATGTATAGTCAAAATGTTGGATGTGGAGCGTACAATATTCGGACGTCTGCAAAAGTGACCTAAGTTAGGAGCCAAATCAGTACCTCCATCAAATATCTCAATAAACTCTTTATCGCAATACCGAGAATTCATATCAAATCGATCTATAAAACTTAGTTGGAGTGTTTCTCCAGGTGGTCCAATTATAATCCACTTGCATTCAGTGTGTGGATGAGGTACGTTCGGATAACGTGGCGAACTAATATTTATGTAACTGGCGTAGTGCGTTAAATAAATTTCTTCATCACACTCACTATACTCGCGATAGGTAATATTCCATATTTGGGCTCTGTTAAAAGTTATCCAAGAAAACGGTAAAACATATTTGATAATTGCATGATTGGTACTGGTTGTTAACAAATTTACAGTGTGACCAACTGCTTGACAAATATGACCAGGTGGAAAAATTGGTGCATGACTATCTAAGCCATCATATACTATCGCATACTGTGCACAGTCTTTATCAGTTGAAATTGTTCTATTAAACTTGAACTCAACGCTTATTTGCTTGCCTGGTCTTACCTCAATATGCCACAAACAAGTAAAGTTCATCAAGCGCGAACGCATGACATGATTTCCTATAATTGTGCCCACATTGCTGTTAGTTATGTTCGAGCCACATTCTGTAGTAAGGAATGAGGAGAACCCGGTTCCGTTGATACTAGCATCGCTCTTAAACTCTACCTTTAAATAGGGCGTGCCTCGTATTGTTGCAATTGCTTTAATTTCTTCCTTTTTGCTATTGCATACTTTCAGCTCTTCATGCCAATCCTCTAGATTACTGGAGGAAAAAACTCGCACGTTATCAGCACTACAATCTGAAATTTCTTCTAAGTCCAAAAACATTAATTCAAAGACAACGTGGTGAATATTTTCTTCCGGTTTAATTATATAAGTACAGTGCAAATTATCATCGTAGCCATTAGGGTAACCGGGTGAATTTAGTTTTACAGCTGTACTAAAGGATATTATTAAGTCTTCTCCACACTTATTAACTGTTTGGTTACTTCTCACAACTTCTTTGCTAACTGCACTCCAATTTATTAGAAATGGTTGTAATTCATCGTTAATAGAATTTAGAAAGACTACATTAGTGCTTGAAACAAATCTCCAAGGAGAATAAGGAATTTCTACTTTCAAAGCAATGTCACTAAACCCATCATAGAGCTATATATAAAAATTAAAAGGCGGTAAATGATTGAAAAATTGTAAAAATATTTATTTGTACTAACGTTTAAGCCACTAAGATACTCCTTAAACTCGAGTGTGATTAATTGATCTCGTGGTAGTTCTATTCGCCAACTATAGGGCTCTTGAGTAGCAATGGAACCAACTGGTGGTGATTCAATTATACCAGTTAAATTGTTAAATAGATTATCGTGGGCTGCAAAATGAATGATGAGAATTAAATATTATTAAATATTAAATTTTGTATTATCCAAAAGTTATATGTAAAATATATATTACAGGAATGTGTTTTTGTTTGTTAAAAAGTATGAGTTCTCAACAACTGATCGCTGTTGAATCCTAAAAAATTCAAATCATAGGCTATAGCACATGTTAAAAAGTTGGTCCTATAGATAATGTTAAATAAAGTAAAATGAAACTTCACAATCTATGAAAAACGGGAATTGATGGCAAGAGAAGTGATTTTTTGTTTGGTTGGACTGGCAGGTAATTTTCAATATTCAGCAATTCTCATGTGTTTGAGCGATTGTGTCTAAGTTGTATTAACTCCATACTTTAACATATTTTATTTATCTATGGCTATCATTTCACTGTATCGTTACTAACGAAATTTGAATATGAATTAATTTCAAGCCAAACTTCACCGACATTATAATTATCTGGGACCGTGGTATAGCCTTAACTTATTTCACTCTTCCTCTTCTCCACAACCTTTTAAGCTTAATTATTTATTTCTAAGTAACTCCAATATCCATCTTTTATTCCCACGTTTTACTATTCATCACTACAAGAGTTATAATTTATATATATGTATTCTATGTAGCATCTATAAATATGTTATGTATTCTATCCCAAGCAACCGCAGCTTCGAGCATTACTAATAACATTTGTTTGGAAAAAGTATTAAATGTGTATTAATTAATCTTCAAAGTAGTTGCCAGCCTATTTCATTATAAGATACTCTTTTTCCTACAAACGTCCGTATTGAGTTCATATAACTTCTGACAAAGAAACATTTTATTTTGTCTCTTGTTTATTTGTCTATAAACAGTAGTTTAGCGTGTGGTTAGTATTTACTTCAATAGACATTAGTAAGTATAGTAGATAGGTAGATAGATAGAGAACAAAAAACTTGTCCAGAATTCGATTCAAAATTTCACAACGTGATTAAAATTTACATTATCATCAAGAACAATACATTACGATATGATGTCACCAAATGAAATATATTTTGATAGAAATGTTAATAATATTTAGCTCTCTCATCACATTTTTATAATTCCATCACATTTATTATTATTATTTGTTGTGAAACGGCAAGTTTGAAGTAGAAACTTCATTTTCGCAGTGTTAACTGACATACTCATATAGTAAAAGCTATGCATTCGTTAAGATAGTAAAATTTAAAAAACCATATTAGTACCATTATAGTGAATTGCCCAACTGATATACTTATTAGTGCAGACATGATATAATAAATTGATGATGACAATTCTTGGAATAGATTATCCTAAAAGTTACACCTCAAACATATTGAATAAAGTAGTGATGAGGAGTGCAACTTTGTGCAACTTTATTTCATTTCATGCTTTTTACTTTCTGATTTGTATATATATTCTACATTTACATATGATGTTTCTCTATCAATGAAGTAACTTGAACCGAACGGTCGGATATGGATATCCACATTCATTTATGTTTAGCCGCTAAAGCCAATAAGAAGTGGATGGTAGAGTGCCTCAAAACGAGAGAAAATGTCTCCTTATAACATTACATTTCTGTACATAGTCATGATAAACTATTCTGGATTTGTAGCAGTGAATGAGTCTATCCGGGTTGCGTTTCACCGTAAACACCCATTTTTAGATAATGGCGTTTCTGTTTTTAGGTTTGTCGACGAGTTCCCACGTATTATTTTCATAACGAGTCTGTTATAAATTCAGTTTTTATTGCTTTTCGCTGGTGTCCGCCATTTTCTGAATTAAGCACATCAATCAGGTTTTCAGGGTTTTCAATAATAGAGTAAGCATTTTGATTTTTTGGTTAATTATAACTCCCCTTTTTGTCTTATTTTCATTAATTGTATTCGAGATCACTGTACGCCCTCAAAGCTGTTTTTTTTTCAAAACAATTTAAAATCTGAGTGGGCTTCGTCAGCTGCTTTATTATTGTGTGTCAATACGATACAAGTTGATGATTGAATACTAGTACACCTTCTGAATAGTCATGGCTTCTTATCCAAAAATTCGAAAATGACAGAAGGAGACCTTCCAACCCATATTTTATAAGGTGTGATCACATTTAATATTTTTTTTGGAGATCAATTTCTTATGAACGCTGCCCCATTAACCGCCTCAGCCTATAAATATTGAGAGAGATTAGAGTCCAAGAGAGTCTAGATAATTCAGCATTTGTGTTCAAATGTTTTAATCTATCTTAACTTTTATATAGAAATTTCCATTAGATTCCATCGATATGAACACTTTTTCACCCTGATTTATTATTTCTGTTACTTCATTTCGCGAAAAATCAATTTCAAAACCGTTTTTTTGAAATGTTATATTCCGAAATTAAATTTGAAAGCCTACAGGGCACATACGAAACTTTTTTAAGCAATATTTCACCGCCATATATAATTGTGTTAATGTTTCCGGTACCATTTCAATTGACTATTTAAGCAGAAGCTCATGTAACATCCTCAACGGATTGTTGAATGGACATTCTTCTTTTATGTTTACACATATGCGAAATGGCATCACTGTCAAGAATCCAGTTATCTTGTTTTCTTTGGTTTTTCAGGTCTTCAAAGTCAAATGTTGTGAATGGCGACTGATGAGTTTTTGTTGATCTTTGTCATTGAGGCCACGCTTGCAGCTTGAAAAACACTTTACATTGCTTCTCTTCTTCGATTCCTGCACAGATTTTTTTTGGGATACGAGTTTCTCTGTCGCGCACTGTAGTTTGTTTAATGAAAATATTAATTGTGATGGTAAGAATATACTCAACTCTAATTTTAAATGTAAACTATAGTTCCAATAGTTCTTTTATTCCATAATTTATTTTATTCGCTTTTTTATCTTGTAAATCATTATAAGTTTTTATGGGGAAGCATTTGTTTGTGGATGTGAGTACGACTCCTGAGAAATAAAATTAGTTTGTCGTGCGTCTACTTATAACTTTTTTATCGCCCACAGTATATACTCATATTCCTTGAAACTATAAGTGTATTAAGTGTATTAGTATTAGTTATATATTCACTTTACATACATTAAGACTGAAAAGTTTTCGGAAATTCTCATTTAAAATTCGCGCGCTGTATATTTTTCGATATTTTAAGTTTATGTAGTTTGGCAGCACTGTCCTTAATTACTATGCCAAAAATGAGCTCGATCTGTCAGACAGTTCGTTTACGGCAGCTGTTGAAACCAGTTCACCTCAGTAGTGCGTTGCGAAATGTCTTCGACGGTCGTACGACCGTCCTGGAAGGCTTTGTACCACTCATAAACTTGAGTTTTCGATAAAACTGATTCCCCATAAGCCTTTTGTAGCATTCGCAACGATTCTGCACACGAAATTTCGTTCGAAACACAAAATTTGATGCAAACTCTTTGTTCAATATTTTTTTCCATTGTTTTTTTCGCAACGCCCTACTGAGGTGAACTGGTTTCAACAGCTGCCGTAAACGAACTGTCTGACAGATCGCGCTCATTTTTGGCATAGTAATTAAGGACAGTGCTGCCAAACTACATAAACTTAAAATATCGGAAAATATACAGCGCGCGAATTTTAAATGAGAATTTCCGAAAGCTTTTCGGTC